CAATCTCCTGCCTCCCTTCCCATTGCTGCGTAATTATTCTGCTATATCTTCCTTTCCTAGATTGGCTGCCTCAAGTATTCTGGGCCATTCCATTAGACCACAGGAGGGGAACGATGGCCCTTTTATGACTTGTGGACTTCAACCAGTGGTGGGATTCAGCCAGTTCGCACCAGTTCGGAAGAACTGGTAGCTAATTTTTTGTTGCCCAGGCCCAGAATGGACTTCCAGAAGCGGCATCCACACAGAGAACCGGTTGTTCACATATTTGAATCCCACCACTGACTTCAACTCTCAGAATTCCTGACCCAGCCATGCTGGCTCAGGTATTCTGGGAGTTGAAGTCCACAGAGTCATAAAGGGGGCATTCGTTCCCCACCTCTACATTAGACAATCTAAGGCAAGCATCTTGTGAAAAAGAGGCACAGGTATGGGTGGAATGTAATCCATAGTCGCAAGAGAGTGGGGATCTTTCCCAGGGAGCAAAGAGGCAGAGAAGCTTGGAATCTCTGGTATGCAGGAAAAGGGCAAAGGGGGACCTCCCCTAGCAGTTCACAGTGTATATCTAGGAGTTATGCAAATAAATGCTTTGGTCTGGCAAGATTTCTGTCTATAGGTGAGCAACAATAAAGACCCTACTCTAAAGTAATTCCTTGTGTCGTTCTTAGTTCCTTAGGCCGGCCACAGGTATCAATATGATTTGGCTATTTTCTCTAAGTTTTCCAGTGTTTTCCAGACAGTCTGTCCTATTCCCCTAAGTCAGTCAGATTTCTCAAGCACAATGGAGATATCGGCCAACATGTTAGAACTACTGAACTAAATTTCAACTGGCTATTATAAAATATGGGATGGGGTAACATATTCTCCTTTGCCTGAGGGAGCGAAATTTCTTAGGAAACACGTACAATTTGTGTGTCTTCATAGCAAAAACAAAACAACAATTAAAAACCCATTAACTGGGAAAGATCTGCTTTGAATTTCTTTTCTACTTCTCTTCTTTTCTCAAGGGCTTTTAATGGTAGAAATTTTCCTTGAAAATTGTAGTAATACTTCTCCAGAAAAGCTGACTTGGAAGAGTTCCTTCAAAATGTCTTCTTTTCCCTTGAAATTTAATGGAAATGTGGGTAACAGCAGACCATTGGGGGAAATTAAAAAGCAGGATATTGACATAGCCTGTGGCCACCTCATCACTAAATATGCCTAAGTTAAAGATAAAGTACAGTACTCTCCAAAATTCTATTCTTGAAGGAATTTTTCTCAGGAAACAAGTAGAGAAAATGCAGGCGAATGCATCTGTTCACTTTTTGTGCCATTACTGATTCCAACAACAGTTTTGCTAACCCTTTGGCTTATCTAGAAGCTGCTCACAATGATATTCTTGAACTTTGACCTACACAGAACATCAGAAAGATTCAAGAACCCTTTGGAAGCCCATACTGTGCTTCCCTCACCATCTTAGGTCAAACTAGACATGATGTTGGAGTTCCATTTTAATATTTCCCAGAGTGGCTTTTTCTGTTAAAAAATAGCCGTAATTTCTAAAGTACCATGGTACATCCTCATTTAAAAAAATATATAGTGCCTCATTCCCTCCCCTAAAAAAAAAATCTTCATCCACACATAAATCTGCTAAAAATAGTGGCACAATATCATTAATTCATGATCTATTTATGGAGCTTTCGTAGCAGGTCAAATTAATTTAGTTCCAAGCAATTACAGTTCCCAATTGCTAGAAATTAAGGAAAACACTTCAGAAATGAGCTTATAGACAGAAGAGCCCTATCATCTTTTTTTTAATGAATTCAAAAGTTAGTATAGGGCAGGGGTAGGCAACCTTGGCTCTTTTATGACTCGTGGACTTCAACTCCCAGAACTCCTGGCTCAGGAATTCTGGGACTTGAAGTCCACGAGTCATAAAAGAGCCAAGGGTGCCTACCCCTGGTATAGGGCAACCCTTGATCCTTAAATGGTTCTTCTGAGAGTAAAAGGACACACAACAAAATTGAGCTTCTGATCTCTAATTTATTGAGTATTCTAAAAGGATACTGTGGTCAGTGTATCCAAAGGTATACAAAGATCTCTTATTTCTCTGCTAAATATCATCCATTAGGGTTACCAAATCTATCTCAATGCCAAAACAGTCTGAACAAACCAGAAAAAAAAATCTAAATAATATGTTTCCTCTAAGGTGCTCCCCTGTGGGTTTAATGCTTTCCTGTTCAGTCAACTTGAAAGTTACATTTTAGCAGAAACATCTATAGAAATAAAGAGATACATATTCAAGACCCTGGGAAGCAGGATGTATTTGCTAAATTATATAAGACTACAAAAGGCAGAGTCAAAATATTTTGCACGAGCATCCTATGGTGTACTACTCTTGGTCTGCATATACATAAAGCCTACTGAATGTCTATCAAAGTATTGACTCTACCTTGGTTTCTTCTGCTACGTGCTTAATCTTCAGTATCTGCTGTTAATAAACAATATTGCACATGGTTTTCACAGCCATGTAAGAGTTCTTGTGGCCTATCTTATCCCGATATCTAGAAAAATCACAGGCCAATAAGGTAAGATTCCTCTTCTAGATAACCGTGAATGCCAGAAGAATTAAATTGTTAGCTTTACAAACTGTACATTGTTTTGCACTTTTGGAAGTGCGTATCCTTGCTAGGTTCTGTGACAGTGGTGGCGAACCTATGGCACGGGTGCCAGAGGTAGCACTCAGAGCCCTCTCTATGGGCACTCGTGCCGTCGCCCCAGTCCTAGGCCTTCAGCTGAGTTTTATAAAACTTTTTTGCTTTAGGCCTCCGCCATGTGCAAAAAAAAAAAGATTCAGTCAATTTCAACTTCTTGTGGGGAAAAAAAAAGATCTTGCAAAGTTGGAATTGATTGAACTTTTTAGTCCCACCCAGCCTGCTGTTACCACTGCAACCATGCCCACTCAATGGGCCACACCCACCTGGCACTTGACGATGCATAAGTGGGTTTTGGGTTGCAGTTTGGGCAGTCAGTCTCTAAAAGGTTCGCCATCACTGTTCTATGATGAAGTTTTAAGAAAAAGAAATCTGAAATGTTCATGTTCTCTAAGATCTTGTCTCTAAGACTGATGTAGTACAAATAACTCTCCTTGATTCTTGATTTCTGAGCCATTCACCTGCAGTACAAAGAATGAAACAGGCTGAATCTGGATTTAAGAGCTGAATGACATATATCTTTCCTCCCTTCCACACCAAGTGGCTGGAATTAGCCCTCCTTTAAATTGTGTACAATGCCCCCATTTTGAAACATTTAAATACATTAAGACAGTGATTAATCACAGGACTATTTAGAACATGTAATCCTTCAAAAGAGGGCTATGTGGAGAATCAGATCTGAAGGACAAAATCCCTTATCTTAAAGCAGGCTGCATCCCATCCATCCTGAGCTTAAATAGCTGTCTTTTGCACCTTCAGCAACTGATGTACAATCTTGGGGGAAAAACACATTTGGGTTAAAATATTCTTGATTAATATTATAGGTCCGTTCACATATGTCCTTTGAACCCAGATATCTGCACAGCCCTAAGAAGCCCAGGCAAAAAAAAATATACAGGTAGTCCTCATTTAACGACCATTCATTCAACAATCGTTCAAAGTTACAATGTTGCTGAACAATCAGTCCTTGAATTTCCAGCTGTCCCAGCGCTCCTGTGGTCACCTGATTGCGATCTGGATGCTTGGCAACCATCTCACACTTACAACGATTGCAGCATCCTGCAGTCATGTAATGCCATACATGATTTGCTCTGCAGGCTTCCCACAAGCAAATTCAATGGGGAAGTTGGCAGGAAAGAATTGCAGGTCTGTCCAGTAAGCTGTTTACACTTTCCCCCATCCAGCGGCCACCAAGCCCCCAGTCCTGAAGTCCTCACATTGCATCATACTATCCATCCTGTACACTTTGTGAATCCATTTACCTGCCTGCTGCTGCCTGCTTGAGAGCCATCCTAGGACTCACTTAACAAACCACAATCCTTGCTTAACAACAGCAATGGCAAGTGCTGGGATTAAGTGATGCAGTTACATGACATCACACTATGACCGCATTGCTTAACGATGGAAATTCTGGTCCCAATTACCATCGTTAACCAAGGACTACTTGTAAACAAACTTGCAAGCAATCTCGGGTTCAATGACAAAAATACTAAAGTTTCTGGATCAGAAATTAAAGTTCTTTATGCGTTTGGCAGTTACAGTGAATTACATTTGTCTGAGAAGTTGACCAATTTCACATTCTCACTGTTCTCTTTCTATCACATTCTATGCACTCTTTTAAAGACGTTTACACTGATTCAACTAGTAATTTTATGCATGAAAAACATGTATTCATATAATGGGTTTTGTTTCAGTATTTCAAATATTTACCCAATCTCCATACACCAATCTCAAAGAAGTGCCTGACTTTGTCTTCACTTTGAGCTGCAATTGATCTGAGCTATACTTTTTAAAAGCATTGGCTTGATAAAGCCAGGGTAAAAATGGAAATTGATTTCATTTGATGTTTATAATTATGAAAAGTAAATATGATTAATGAAGTTACTCTTCGGGTTTGTATTTCATAGTTTCTCTCCACTATCATATTACAAATTACGTTTAGTAACAGCTTTTTGAAGTCCCTGAAATCCGCAACCAAGCTTACCAAGAATTTATGCATCTTTGGCTTAGAAAGAAAAAAAAAAGTTTTCACAGCCCTTTTTGTTCTTAGGATAACTTTTTCACAAGAAATTAATCAGCCCATTTGTTTATTTTCACTAGAAATTAATCAGTCCAGTTGCATATTAGTATTGTAGAAAAATTGCATTCTAGAACTATGATACTGAAGCCTCAAATATTTGACAGGTATTTCCAAATACATTGGTATAATAAACTTCTAATAATTTAGATACCAAGTTATCCTCTAAACCAGTCACTTAAATAAACACCCGTGTCAACATTCTTTCTGAGACATCTATTAATTCTGCCTACCAAATATCCGCTCCAGATGGGAGAAGCAAGGTGAACGCTCCATCCAAGAAACCCTGGTTTATAAGAAAAAACAGGAAAAAAAGCAATAATTCCCGAAATGAGGCTTAGGATTCCAAAGGAAATGAGCACTTTTCCAGTAACTAAAAACAATTTCCTTGTGTTCATTTTCGAATCTCTCTTCTTTCCTTCTGTAAATTGCACAAGACTGTACAATAGGCTGACACATACCATTACACACCAAAGCGTCTTGGAGATAGTTGTCAGGGGTGTTTCCTTATTGTTTGCTTGCTCAGGTGGATCACAATTCATTGTATAATTGAAATATAAGGCACTGAAGTGGAATTAGGAACAATTACAGGTAGTCCTTAACAACTGAGCCTACAATTTCGGCCATAAACCACTGTGGAAAGAAAAATCTTCATCAGGGTCCAGTCCAAGCTGGGAATAAACAAAATGGAGACTGCTTTAGAAAGAAGGTTGCAGTTTATTGAAGAGGAGAGCCAAACAGAGGGCTTTGGGAAAGCTGACATGTTGGGAGTGGTGGATTTTTATACCTTCTGGGACTCTTGAGGTTGTTTCCTGTTCCTGTTTGAGGCTTTGTATTTCCTGTGTCATGTACTTTGACCTGAGTCTGAGTGTGCCCTTTTGGTCTTTTAGAGTTTGGGTGGGGTATGTAGATTTTAGAGGTTTTTGTCTTCCTAATCTCATAGCTTCTAGCTTCCTGGCCTAACCTTCCTGAATGAATGATTGAATTTGCATTTCTAAAAGCTGGCCTCTGCCTAGGGGCTGGGTCTGATTTCTGGGGGCTGGTTTCTGTCTTTTTTTTAGATCTTCTCCATTATTCCTTTGGCGAAATATATTCTGCCTTTTTAATATTTCCCAAAATATTTCTTTCTCTGGATTCTTCCCACACCGTGATGGTTGTGAAGCAGATCACCACATGATTAGGCCTCAATTTACATCCATTTTGCAGCAGTTGTTAAGAAAAAGGGGAGATCATTAAACAACCATTAAGCCTTTTTGGTCTTAAGTGAATCCATTCGTTTCTGGAAACTAGTTTCCAGAAAAAAAGAAAACAAAATGATGGTCATGTGACTATGTGGGAGGTTGCAAACAACCATAAATGCAGGTTGGTTGCCAAGCACCAAAAGTGCAGTCATATGATTACAGGCTGAGGTGGACATTAGAACTTCAAATCCAGGTTCATAAGTTCCTTTTTTTCAGGGTAGGTCATAACTTCAATTTGTCATGAAGTGATTGGTCTTGAGGACTACCTGTAGCATATGTAAGAAAATGTGTCACCCTGATACACAGCTCTGTTCTTCAGGAGGGAATTCAGTAAGATGGCATCCCCCACTTTGTTTTAGATAACACAGTGTGTTAGGATTTCCAGAATTCCTAGCTGAAATTCAATGCCAGCACATCTCAAGATTTATCAAGGAGAGAAGGTTGGTGAAGAGGATATAAGGAGTGGCCTTGAAGGAGAGCAGAAACTCCTGCTAAAAAGCAATGGTCAGACAAATGGGGCTTTAATATGAGCCAAGAAACTAACCAGAGGAACATATAAAGAACGGTTGCTGGAACTGGGTATATCTAGTTTAATGGGAGGGGGAAAGTACTAGGGGTGACATTATAGCAGTGTTCCATTATCTCAGGGGTTGCCACAAAGAAGAGGGAGTCAAGCTATTCTCCAAAGCACCTGAGGGCAAGCAAGAAGCAACAGATGGAAACTAATCAAGGAGAGAAGCAATCTAGAACTAAGAAGAAATGTCCTGAAAGTTAGAACAATTAACCAGTGGAACAACTTGCCTCCGAAATTGTGAATGCTCCAACATTGGAAGTTTTTAAGAAGAGATTGGACAACCATTTGTCTGAAATGGTGTAGGGTTTCCTGCCTGAGCAGGGGGTTGGACTAGAAGACCACTAGTTATTCTGTTCTGTTCTGTTCTAAATATCTTAAGCAAGCCCCTCCCTAGTTCACACAAAGGTAACTTGAGAGAGAGGGGAAGTACATTCAGACTTGTAAGATCCTGTTACCGTAGCTGTATAGGAGTTCTGTCCTAGTAGTATTGGTTTCTCAATCGGGTCTACCTTGTAGGGCTGTCAGTTAGTTCTTTTATGCATCCTTTCAGGAGTGACTATATCTATCTATCTATCTATCTATCTATCTATCTATCTATCTATCTATCTATCTATCTATCTATCTATCTATCTATCTATCTATCTATCTATCTATCTCATTTATTATCCACCCATCTTATCCATCCAAGGTAACTTTGGGTGGCTTACAGTCATAAAAATGTACATAGACATATAAACTAAAAACATACATAAATTAAAACCAACCAACATTAAAATCTAATGACAGGTGGAGAGGGCAGGGATGGAGAGGAGGGAGATGGGATCTGTTGTTACTCGATCAACCACCTTGACTCTGCTGCTCCCCTGTTGGGGCCACAGGCTAATTGGCAGAGCCAGGTCTTCATGCCCTTACAAAAGGATAGGATGCCTCACATTGGGGGGCAAGATGTTCTAGAAGGCAGGAGTAACAGCACAGAACATCGTCCTCCGGGATCTAGCCATCCAGAATAATCGGATTGATGGGACTTGCAACATGCTTCCTCTGTCAGCAAGAGTGGGGTGAGATGGTCCCTCAAATAGACTGGACCCATGCCATGAAGGGCTTTAATGTTCCTGAGCCAAAAGACATTTTTTAAACAGTTTCTTTATACTTCACAGAACTATTCCATGGCTGCTTTCTTTTCGGAAGAAAGATTATGGGGCTGACCCAAGCAATTTTGTTCTTAGGACAAGCACCACCTACACATAAAGAAGTCAACTCATCAGTTTGTTCTTATTTGACCCCGCCTCCCTGTTACTGCAATTGTAGCCTGCAATTGGGGTGCAGGATAAGTTGGGTAGCACACAGTTCTGTTTTCAAAGAGAGGAGGGTGACTGAGAAATTCAGGGGTGTTGTGTCCTTTGTATTCCCCCCCCCTTAATCCCCTATGCATATCCTGATCACCCATTAAGGGTGATTGCCCTTCTCCATCTGCACACAGTTTCATGCCCGTTGCTGGTTGGCTAACTAGCAACAGGGTCTTGCCAGCCAATAGGAACTGTGTGATTACAAGCCAGGGGAATCCCATAAAAGAGGGCTCCCCTGGCCCAGAGAGCCAGTCCGGATT